TTTAACCTTAAAGGGAATTTTTTTTTCATCCATTTTAAATCACTAAGCTTTTCTTTTAGAACATTTCTAAAATTAAAACATTCTAATACATCTTTTTTTAAACTTCCCCTTAGCATACCTAAACTTCACTTTCAGACCAATAAAATTCCAATTAACTCATTAAATTTAGATCACTCCCTTCAAGTTACCTTCATAGAATATTTTTTTCCTTCTTGTACACATCCTTTTTAAAGCTCTAGATTTTTTCTTTAACTAATGCACCTTTTTCTTTAAACTTTTTCTTAACATATTTTCAAATACACTTACAATAATATTTTACAAATTTTAGGAATTACTTATTATATATAAAAGAAAATACATGTTCAAGCTTTTGATATCTTTCAATTACAAATGTCAAACCAATGAAAATCCATCCTACGTTTAAATCCCTCCTTCCAGCTTGTCTTCATGGAATAAAATCTTTTTCTTCTCTGGAATGTTTGTCAAGTAATTATAAACTTCTCTTTTGCTCAAGGATTTCTCAATATATATGAAAAGTCCCAAACGTGTCCTTTTAAAAGTTGCAAATTTTCTTGGAGCTCTTCTTTCAATTGTGTTGGGAGGCTTTTATTTCAACCATCATAATAAAAATTGGTGTCAGATTTATATTCCGAAATTACAGTTGACTCCTCTGCTTTGGCAGCTACTTGTGAAATTGCCTCCGTGGTTTGGTAACTTTGCACACATATTTGCATCTCTGAAGTAGTTTGAACATCCTTTGAGCACATCTGTTCTATAAACTGATGGATTTTATTTAAAGATTTTTCAAATACATCTCTAATAATTTGCTCCTCCATCTTCTTGAATTGCTGACCAATCAGGAATCATAAAAGTCAGAAAGTTTTAGTTTTAGTCATCCACAGCAATGCAGACCAAGCTACAAATTACTAAAAATAATAATCTAGAACTACACCTTTCTGCCCTTATATTTCTCCATCAATTTTTTTCAAAAGGTAGTCCACACTTCCTTATTTTAGCTTGCATTAGCAGCCTTCTTTCTTGTCATTTAACAAGAAGAAATCCCCAAAATGGCACAGATCTTCAAAAAGGGAATAGCAGGCTGTAGCTAATGAGAGCCTCTTTTAGCTTAATAAAGATTAATAATCCTTAAAAATGATTAAGAAATGAAAGGCACAATTTACTGTTCAAATAAAAATAAATTGTGAAATGGCTGCATTCTTCAACCCCCACCCCACCCCCACCCCTCCACACAAGCTCCTTGCAGACCTGTAGCTGTATCGGAGGACATTATCCCTTGAGGGATAATTCTGGGATGTTCCCTAACTCAGGAGAGTAAGTTGAAGAAGCTGAATTCCAGAGAAAAACCCCTCAGGGATCCTTCCCTGTAGTCAGTTAGCCGTCTTTTCACTGGAAGTGTGGCCTGTAATTGATAAAATCTTTCTTATTCCTTTTTTCATAAAACATGTAGACACTACTATTGCCAATTGAGTACGGCAGGTATCATTTATATGTGAAAATGAAATACCAATAGAGGCCTCCACAACTAGATATATTTTTTGAATAGATGAATAACTGGTAGAAAGTTATCTCCAAAGATTTTATTGCTCTTTAGGCCTTTTAGGATGAATATGAACATAGCTGATAAGTTGTACAAACAGCTTTTGAATTCCATGGAAAAGATATGGTTGCATCAAAACACCAAAATAGAGAAACACAAACAAACCTGTGGGACTTTGTAGGTGCCTGCTAATGTTGATATCTGGATGGAGACGTCCCTTCTAGCTCCATCAAGAAGAGACAGGAGGTTGTCCTTCCTTCCACAGCCATAGTTGGGAACATTGGCTTCTCCAGCGGAGAGCATGTCCAGCAAGGCATCTGAAGTGCGGAAAGTGCTCAAATAGTTGTCATGGAGGTTGTAGCCAAGTGTGAGATTGTGCAGGAGTTGGGAATTTTTGTTGACCAATTGAATAGCTAAAATTTATCGTAGGACATTTGAAAAACCATAAGAATCCCTATTGTAAAAAAAGGTTTGTTATTATAATCAAAAACAACAATGAATACTTAAAAAAAATAATCTCCAGAAGTCTACTGAACCTTAACTAGACTCTATTGATTCAAAACCAAGGATCAGTACTTTAAATAAAACCCAGTATTTAAGGGATGAATTAAAGGAATGAACTGGGAGAAGAAGAAAATCTGGAATTCTTTCAGGAGTTTTTTTTTAGCGCCATCTTTGGATCTGAATCTCTTCCACAAAATAAGACAAAAGAGAGAAGCCATGGAAATCAAAATTATTCAAGAAATCAGACAAGTACTGCAATATAGGAATGAATGAAATAAGACGAAAAGGAGTGTGCTAAAAATGCAAATGGAAGGAATGCAGCTCCATTACCCTGAATGACTTACGAATCAGACTGAATAGAAGGAGCCATGTTGAAAGGCCAAAATGTTCGCAACATTGTTTTGACAGTTGTGAATATACTAATGAGATGGTCTCCTGGCCTGTAAAAGCTCCATGGATTGTTTTTCATCCTGGTGCTCCAAACTCAGCAGGCATTTCATTCTCAGCTTCCCAGAGACTGGCATGGACATCAACAGCATCAGAAGCAGAAGTAGGAGGTCCATAATTCATTGGGCTTCAGTCTGCTTTCTACATGGAAGGCAGCCACTGGAGAAGTCACATAAGATCTCAAAGGTCTGGATGGTCATAATTACAGTGATAATTTCCCCTCTTGGGATCCTAAATGTCTTCTGGGCTCCATGTGCAGAGGAGAGACTAGAAAAAAGTACGTTAGTGAAAAATCACAGATATACCTCTGAGGGCACTTTGGTTGTGGTTGTGTGTCTTTCCTGTCAGAACATGTCCAGAAAGTGATGCTGGATGAAGGCAGTTCAAAAACAAGAGAATTGACTTCTGCTGTCCTTCAGCATGGCCTCTTGTCTCCAGATACAGCTGGAGAAGGTCACCCAGAAGTATAATGTTTGGTGCACTCTAGGTTGATGTTCCTTAACTGTAGGGCTGCCTGTCTTTGAATGTCAAGGACGCCAACAGCACCCTTGAACCAGTGGTGGGTTTCAAAAATTTTTTACTACCAGTTCTGTAGGCATGGCTTGGTGGGCGTGGCAAGGGAAGGATACTGCAAAATCCCCATTTCCTCCCAATCAGCTGGGACTCGGGAAGCAGAGAATAAATGGGTGTGGGGCCAGTCAGAGGTGATATTTACCGGTTCTCCGAACTACTCAAAATTTCTGCTGCTGGTTCTCCAGAACTGGTCAGAACCTGCTGAAACCCACCTCTGCCTTGAACCCTGCCTAATGTTAAGTGCAGGGCTTTCCTTTTATACCAGAACTCCATATATGAATCTTACGTTGGAGCCGATTTTAAAATTCCTTGTGAGTGAAGTAAAATTTCATTATGAATGAAGGCCTTCATTTCCCATCTTTTCTAACAATATCAATTTTTGGATGAGAGGCAGGAAAGTGACAGCCTGTGGACTATATCATTAGGTAAATAGCAGGGGTGAAATCTAAAAAAAATTGCTACCAGTTCTGTGGGCGGGGCTTAATTAGTGGGCGGGGCTTGGTGGTAAGGTGACTGGGAGAGCATGGCTTGTTGGTCAGGTGGGCGTGGCCAAGTCAATGTCACTTCTTTGCCCTTTTTTAATCTACAAAACATAACACAACACAACTGGCTCACCCACAATATAAAAGCAGCTGCGCTAGACCCAAAATGGCCCCTGCAACAAGCAGCCACAAAAAGCCCAAAAAAACAACTTTCACACATACAGCTTTCTGAGATTTTGTGTGATTGTGTAGTTAGAGTGAAACACTACAGAAACACACTAAATCTCAGAAAGCTGCACAAATATTATTTATTTTTATTTTTATATAAAAGCAGCTAAATTTAAAACTTCCTAAACTTTAAATGGCTAGGTCTAAAAAAAGAACAACTAAAAAAAACCCCAATTAACTATTTTTTTAAAGCTCCCAAAGGGGAAAAAAACTTACCCAATTGAACAGGGGTCTCCAACCTTGGCAACTTTAAGACTTGTAGACTTCAACTCCCAGAATTCCTCAGCCAGCTTTGCTTTGCTGGCTGAGGAATTCTGGGAGTTGAAGTCCACAACTCCCTGCCTGCTTGATTGCAGGCAGGGAGATTCAGTTGCTTGCTGATGCAATCGATTACAGTGATTACAGCAAGGTGTTGCCACCAGCAGCTAAAGTAAGCAAACTGAGGGGGGGAGGGGGAGGGATTTTTGCTACCAATTAGCAGGCAGAGCCATTTATAAGGAAAACATTTTTTTCTTTTACATCCCTCTGGCGATCCAAGCTAAGTAGCCTGATTAGCAGGCAACTCAGCTGGGATCGTGAGAGCTTGGCTGGTCAGAGCCATTTAAAAGGAAAAAAAAGGCTCTAATGATCGCGTGGCTCAGCTGGGCATGGGGGGCGGGGGCAGGGATTTTTGCTACCAGTTCTCCGAACTGCCCGCCGCCATCGCTACTTACTCGCCCGAGCTGGTCCGAACCGGGAGCATATCACCACTGGTAAATAGGGACAAAATTATAGAATTGGTACATTTTTTTCCTTTTCATTTACTCTTTTTGTGTAGTCTTTCAGTGGCTATGTAAGATTTTTGAATAAAGTGTGGGCTGTGAAGCCTGTAGCTGAGATGGTGAAACTGCCCACAACGTGGTGGATGGTGTGATCTTGCCACCCTGACCCTAACCCAGAAAATGGTTTCGGGGTATCTGGGGGTTGTGAGGATGCACATGGTAGGGTGGGACCCCTGTGAGAGGGGGAGGACTGGGAGGCACCAACCCTATCTGGCTTTATGGGTCAGGCAATGGTTCTGATGGAGTTTATCAAACAACATTTTCCTATTCACTCTCTCAGACACATACAATTTAGCTACTGATAATAGGATAGAATAATAGGATAAGATGATTTCTTAAAATGTGTTGTGTTCATTGGCTATTGCAGAAAAGTAAATTGCTCTGCATGATTTTCACAATTTATTGAGTTTATTATTTTCACAAGATTTATTGAGATGAAACAGAAGGGAACAGTCGTTGAACTATTTACCATTTCAAACACAGACATATGATATTCTTCTGCATGCTATCTGAATGGAAATAATATTTTATTTCAAATAAAACAAACATTAACAATTCTTCCAATATCATAATGGTCTCATGTCTCATGTTTTTACATTGATTCTGGCTGTAAGACATTCCTTTGTGTTCAGGTCTGGTCTCAGAAAGATAATGTAGCACTTGGGGATGAAGATGCAGACCAGCAGACCAGCACTGGAGGCCAGGATGGAGAAGACCTGCACAGCCACCATGTATTTTCCTTTGGTGCTCAAGTAGGTGGGCACAAAAGTCACCCAGACACTGCAGAAGACCAGCATGCTGAAGGTGATCAGCTTGGCTTCGTTGAAGGCCCCAGGCAGATTCCTGGCCAGGAAAGCCACCGTGAAGCAGATGGCAGCCAGGAAGCCCATGTAGCTGAGGGTGATGTAGAATATGACAATGGCCCCTTCGTTGCACTGCAGGATGATCTCTCCAGGCTGGGAGTGGAGGTCAGAGTCAGGGAAGGGGGGAGAAACTCCCAGCCAGATGGAGCAGATGACAATTTGAACAGCAGCAGAAGAAAGGATGATGGTGTTGGCCAAGCTCTTCCCCAACCATCTCTTCACTCTGTTTCCTGGTTTTGTGGCCAGGAAGGCCAGCACCACCATGATAGTTTTGGCCAAGAGAGAAGAAATGGCAACTGAGAAGATGATGCTGAAGACCGTTTGTCGGAGAAGGCAGGTGGCTTTCCTTGGTTGACCAATAAAGAGAAAAGGAGACAAGAAGCAAAGCTGGAGGGAGACCAGGAGGATGTAAGAGAGGTCCCGGTTGTTGGCTTTGACAAGGGGAGTTTCTCTGTATTGAATGAAGATGATTAAAACAAGTCCTGTGGTTAGGGACAAGAGTAGGGCAAAAGAGTCCAGGACGATTCCCAGATGTTCTTCAAAAGACAGGAAGGTTATAACTTTGGGGATACAGTGGATTCTGTTCTCATTTGGATATTTATCATCCGGACACTTGGTGCATTTTTCCGTATCTGAGAAAACAAAACAAAAAAATCCTTTATTATCTTATACTTTTATTTTTCAAGTTATACCTTCTTCAGACAATAAGTGATACCAGGAACATACCAGGAACACCACGAACTGTATCTGAGAAAGCCAAAAACCAGTATTTCTTTAACATTCTATTCTTTTAACTTTCAAGAAATATCTTCTTGGGACAAAAGCTAATAAGAGGGACATTTTCCATGATGCATTGCTTAACAAGTCCAAGAAACTTTTTTGGAAATACTATTTTCTAAAAATATTATAGCTCAGGTGTATGAAATTGGGGAAAGTCCAAGGACCTAAAGCATTTCCTGGTTAATAAGAAGAACTCTCCTAGAAACCTACTTTATTAAAGGTAAATAATGAATCTGATAATCTTTCTAGGAATACTTCCTGGGTCCTGCCAGATGGCATTTCCCAATACACTGAACCAGTGGATGTCTTTCCTCTGAAATCTAGTTTGGTGGTAGAAAAAGATCATTTCAGTCCATAATGTAAACATTACACAGAGTCTCTGAAGTAAGATTAATGAAGGTAACATGAGAGTGGTTTTTTAAACACCCACCCACAGTATTTACAAAGAGAAAGAAATTTAGGTCTGTATTTGTTCATGAGAGAGGGGGGAAGGAAAGAGAGAGAGAGAGAGAGAGAGAGAGAGAGAGAGAGAGGAAGGGAGGGAGGGAGGGAGGAGAGAGAGGGGGGAGGGAGGGAGGGAGGGAGGGGGAGAGAGAGAGAGAGAGAGAGAGAGAGAGAGAGAGAGAGAGAGAGGACAAGCTGAAAATATCCAAAAGGATCTTATCTCTGATCCTTCAAGATCTTTCTGCTTATAGTGGTTGATGACCTTAATAGAATTGATTGCTTGATATAACTTTTAATGCATCAATTTAGGGGGATGACATAATGTCAATATGCCTCAGATGAAGAAAAGCAATGGACATAAGACAAATTTCAAACAATTCAGATGTTCCTAGAAAGGTTAAGATGGAAGGACACATCCAAACTAACAGGCAGAGGAATTATTTTCCCTGACAATGATAAAGTTTGCCCAATCTGCTTTACCTTCCTATCTCTTCTTAATCTCTCAATCTTTCAGTTATTCTTCCCATTAAATATGAAATTGTGCATTTTGAAAATAAACAAGAAAACAGTTAAGCTTAGAAGTGTTTTTTCACAGTACATTCACAAAAATGCTCTGGATGGATCCAGTTCCACAAGGCCTCCCATTTTCCTCAGTGTGACCCACCTTCCTGAGTGGAGAAGGTCCCCTCCGAACAAGGAACGCAGTCATAGCAGCAAACTGGCTCTCCTTCTCGAGCCCCCTTGACAAATCCAGGTTGACAACTTTCCACACATTTGGACTGAGGCAGGGACTAAGCAGAAAAACAAGGAATGCCAAAGAAAATGTGTTAGGACTCACCACCCATGGAAAAGGGAGGTAGACATGGACATTAGCCAAGAAGCTTCTGATCTTCACTGAGGTAAATATGAAATCTCTGACTCATTCCAAACAGATGTAGGAGATTTTATTTGTATCCATCTCATATATTCATAATTATGTCTATATGTTAGATCAGCGCAGGAATGGAAGACGCGACCAGCTCGTTACATTTGTAACTTTATTTAGAACAAGAAACAGTAGCAAGACTGGCTGCGCGCTGCCGGAGCTCTCCTTATATTCGCTCCGGCAGTCGCACCGCCCCTGATAGTTATTTAAACTTTCCCGCCCGATGGCTGGCAGCCAATCCGGGCGGATGTCCTTATAAGGACATAACACTCCTCCCCCTTAGTCCGCAAAAAACATTCAAAGTTCATTTATAAACGTTACGTAGTCCCGCAGGTACGTAGGACGCCTCAGCACCCTGTTGTGGCCCCGCCCTCTGAGCCTGTCCCATCGGAGGAAGAAAGCTCCGAGCATGAGGAAGAGGAGTCAGCTAGGCCTCCCTCTCCAGGCCCCTCCCCTCTGGCATTGTCTCAAGTGCCGGTCGAGGGAGAGGAGACAGCTGATTCCAGTCAAAGTGATAATGAGACATCATTCCTGGACGCACGCCTCCGAAGGCGTGATAAACGTTTGCAGCAGTTTAGGAGGCGTGCTAGGGATTAGCACTGAGTCACTGGACCACACCCCAGAGACCACACCCCAGAGACTATATAATAGAGAGTGGTGGTCAAGGATCTTTTGTGACGAACAAAGCAAAACCTTGGAGTCACTAAAGCCTCGTCCGGAACTGCTGGGAGGAATATTATTTCTGTTTGGACTTTCTTGAACGTTCGTATTTTATCTGTCTGTTTGTGCAAATAAAGACCCTTGGCAGACGGTGTGTCTATCGCTGCCAAGTCGGAGATAAGAACTGGGTGCGTTCCAAAGAGTTTCCTTAACCCTCGGCTGGCTGTGTGTGTGTGTGTGGGGACGGGGACAGATCATCTTGTTCGTCACCCCATACTCCATCGTTAACCCACGATGGACCAACAGCTGCAGCAGCAGTTGCAGCAGATACTGCAGGCCAATCAGCTTCTGCAACAGCAAGTAGCACAGCTAACTGCCCAACTTGCTTTGGGAAATGCTCCTGCAGCTCCACCTCCTCCCCCTCCCCGTCCGAGATGCCCAGTGAACGTGCCAGATAGGTTTTCTGGGCAGCAGGAGATGTTTCCGGCCTTCTTGGGACAATGCCAACTGTTTATGGCGATGAGGCCGGAGGATTTTCCGGATGACCGGGCTCGGGTGGCATTTGTTATCAGCTCCCTCTCTGGCACTGCCGCCCGATGGGCCACGCCCCTGTTGTTGCAAGATAGCCCCTTGCTCCTGGACTTTCAGGGCTTTTTACAACACCTGCGCACCATGTTTGAGGACCCCCTCCGGGTGCAGACGGCAGCGAGGCGCATCAAGGACCTCCGCCAAGGCAAGCGCCCCCTGCAGGACTATATTGCAGAGTTCCGACTGCTAGGCCAGGATTCGGCTTGGAATGAATGAGGTGGCGCTGATGGACGCTTTCCAGGACGGCCTTTCCGACGAGATGCAGGACGAGCTGGTTCGTGTGGAGGCGCCACCGACCCTCGACGCGCTGGTGACCCAATGCCTGCGCATCGACGCCCGCCTGCAACGGCGACGGCCCCGTCGGGCTCTTCCGGAAGCACCGACAGCATCGGCACCCCCGCGTTTCGCACCGACAGCGCTCCGGACCGCACAGCGTTTTGTGGCGACGGCTGAGGAGCCCATGGAGCTCGGAGCAGCCAGACCTCAACTGACGGCCCAGGAGCGGATGCGGAGACGTCAAGGGGGGTTGTGCCTCTATTGCGGCGAGGTGGGACATTTTGCCGCCTCGTGTCCCCGGAAGCGGAGTGGACCGCTCAAGCCTGTTCCGGAGTCTCGACGCGACCAGCCGGGAAACGGGCCAGGCCTGGCCTAGGGGAAACTCTGGGTCAGGCACGTGACCATGCCCCGCCGGAGTCGGCGGCGGCTGTGGACTGTGAGCCCCCTCGGCACCTGATTTTGAACACCCGGGTGTTGTTGGCTAACCGGTCGGAGGGGCTCCAGGCGCACGCGCTGGTGGACTCGGGGGCCACCACGAACTTTATGGACCAGGCCTTTGTGGCCCATTACAAAGTCCCTTGGTTCCAGTGGACCCTCCGTTGAGGGTCGAAACTATAGATGGGCGGGAACTCGTGGCGGGACCCATCAAAACCGCTACCCAGCCCTTGCGCCTCGCCATTGGAAACCACGAGGAGGCGATCCAGTTTTACGTAACGGCGGATCTGCACTTTCCCTTGGTCCTGGGGATGGCCTGGCTTCGGGCGCACGACCCTCAGGTGGCGTGGTCAAGAAACGCCATCTCGTTCCCGAGCCTGCAGTGTGTCGACCACCTTCGCCACACCTGCGCCGGCCAGGACGTCTCTGCCCCAAACGCCTCCTTGCCTCCGGAGCTGACGCCCTTCGCCGACGTGTTCAGCGAGAAGGAGGCGGACCGCTTGCCCCCGCACCGACCCTACGACTGTGCGGTGGACCTAATGCCCAATGCACCCCTGCCCTCGGGACGCCTGTACTCCATGTCGGAGCCCGAGCTGGCCGCCTTACGGGACTTTCTGGAAAAGAACCTGGCCCGTGGGTTCATCCGGCCTTCGACCTCCCCGCTCTCGGCCCCAGTCCTCTTCGTTAAAAAGAAGACGGGGGACTTGCGCCTGTGTTGCGACTACCGGCGCTTGAACGCCATCACAGTGCGAAATCGCTACCCCCTACCGCTGATCCCAGAGCTTATGGAGAGGTTGCGGGAGGCCTCGATCTTCACTAAGCTCGATCTCCGAGGGGCCGGCCAACCTGGTGCGCGTGAGAGAGGGGGACGAGTGGAAGACGGCGTTCGGCACTCGGTACGGACACTTCGAGTATACCGTCATGCCGTTCGGATTGACCAACGCCCCCGCGGTCTTCCAGCACTTGATGAACGATGTGTTCCGGGACATGCTGGATCGGTTCGTGGTGATCTACTTGGATGACATTTTGATCTATTCCCGGACCCCGGAAAGTCACCTCCAGCATGTCCGCCAGGTCCTGCAACGCCTGCGGAAGCACCAGCTCTATGCGAAGTTGGAGAAATGCTACTTCTTCCAGACTTCCATAGAGTTCCTCGGGCACATCATCACCCCCGAGGGCATCGCGATGGACCCGCGCAAGGTGGAGGCCTTGCGCAGTTGGGAACCCCCGCGTCGGGTGAAGGACGTCCAGCGTCTGTTGGGATTCGCCAACTACTATCGGACCTTCATCCCGGGCTTCGCCACCCTGACCTTGCCGTTGACCCAGCTCCTTCGGAAGAAGGTCCCGTTCCAGTGGGGGCCCCCACAGCAGCAGGCCTTCGAGGTCCTCAAGCAGGCCTTCCTCACGGAGCCAGTCCTGAGGCACCCCAATCCACACCGTCCGTTCGTGGTGGAGACGGACGCGTCCAACGTGGCGATTGGGGCGGTGCTACTACAGGCTCCGGTGGATGGCGGCACTCTTTTT